CTGGCTTGGATCAGCATAAAGTTCCTCTGGGGAATGCACACACACACAAAACTAAACTACTGAAGATACTTTTAACTTCATAGCTCTGTATTGCTTAGTAAATTAATGATGAACCTCCACAAAGCAGACTGGCTCTGTTGGTCTGGAAAGAGTCAGCAAATGTGTAACTCAAATGCTCGTTCTTGATTCTGATATTATAAAAAAGCATTAGAATACCTAAATAAATTGAAATATTATTCAAGCTCTGGAATTATTTGGGAGGAACAAGTACGCTAATCTGAACAACTATTTCAGGTTTGCTCAGTCTATCATACCTAAAGTTCTTGCTCATTGAAATGGGTGATGTAATTTCTCATTGTTTCATTTGATCAGTTCTGTAAAGACCTGATGGCACAGAAGAGCTACCTTGTGTCACCCAGGTGTGTGTTACACTTCAGCAGCAGATGAGGTCAGTCCCCTCTTACATGTAAAAGATTGTGAGATCCTTTTGGATGAAAAGTACCAAATCAAAAATAACATTCTCCGGTGTAGATCTGAAGCTGCCCCTGCTGGGATTCTTTAATTTTCCATCACTCACTTTCTTTCACCGATGAGGAGGAAACATTGAATATTGTGCCAACAAGGCAGGATACAAGTGTTAATTCAAAAATTCCCAAAAAAGTGAAGGACTTCTTTTTTCCTGTCTTCGGTATGATTAAAGTAGACCATTAACAAAAGAATCAGTAGTGAGTATTTTGATTATTTGGACAAGAATGGACTTGTTTTACTTCATTTTCATGTTTTGAAAAATAAAATGGGACAATTTACAAGATGACCTTATTCGGAAGCAAGGTTACTTCATACAGTAAGTCCGCTACATCTAATATTAATATTAATTGCTACTTCAAAGTATCTTGGTTGCAAGTGTTAAAGTAGCAGCATGTGAAAGCTCTGCAAGGGGCATATTGCTTTTGCAAGGCACTGTATGTATGTATTCCACAAGGTCACTGCACGTTGGTGCTGTTATCTGGTCTGTGCTTTATGGTTTAACTCTGTGACAAGAGGAAGTGTGATAAGTACACTTCCTAGCCCTACACTCAAGGGAAGGCTGTCACAATTTCAGTGGGACAGACTCACCATTGCAGACAGTTGTAACGAGCTAAGAGCAGAGCCTTTGGCTGACTGGGCGAGTGGCTTATTGAAGTGGTTGCAGAGGCAATAACATGGCAAATAATGGCCTTGTATTTTGCTGTAATTACCATCATCATAAGTCATTAATGTAATTAATTTGGAGTTTATTTTAAATGACAGTTTGTAAGTCTTTCATGAAATTGAATTCTTTCATCCTGGCTGCGGTTTTAGTTTCTCCTCAGTGGTTGTGTGCTGGGTTGGGGGTGGGAGACATGGGTGGGGCTAAGGAGTCAAATTGACAGGGCCCTTTTCAGAGTGGTAATTCCTTTTTTTAGCATTTTCCATCAATTAGCTAGATAACCCCAAGGAAGATGCAATACACAAGCAAGCTAACGTTCCATTTCATTTAGTACTTGAGTGACAATGTCTGTCTACATGTATCTATCTTACACCACTGGGTAAAAGCAACTGCTATAATAGAAGGAAGAAACAATATAAATATACAGTATACTGTTTCAGCTATGGTAGCTTTAGGTTTTCTGTTCTTCTTCCAATTGATTTAGGATTAGTTGGATAATGGATTCGTTTTCTTCCTTTGTTTTCATTTGCATTACAAAATTTACTAGTCTGCTGGCTTCTAAATATATTTGTTTTCTTTCTTTAGGTACAAAAATAAATTAATTTGTACTAATGTTGGGGTTGTGAGCCACTGTAGACCTTTGTCTTGGGGCTCATAACAGTTCTTTGCAAAATGGATTGAAATGTTTTACTGTTCTCTCACAGTCCTTTAGCTGTCTTGCAAAAGAAAAGGGTAGAAATACCATACGCACATTATTTCCAGTCTCCATGATTGCTCTTCATGTGAACTCAGCCTGGGGCATTCAGGGCAGGCTGTGTGTGAACTATAGTCAGCTGCCACATTTTGTTAAACTTTCTTAAATGTACTTTTGGATCTTTACAGCATGTCCCCATGTACAGTACAGTAACAACACGATTTCACATGAACTATAGAGCCGTGTCTTTTAGTCTCAAGCATGCCCATTCACTGTGTTTACCTGAAGCAGATGTCATGTCTTGTATCAACCTGCTGCCTGGCTGTGACAGATCCCAACCTGAGTAAGATGGCCTGAGGGGTCTGAACACATTAACAACTCATAAGGATTTCAAGAAGCCCAGGGAAGGAGACAGTTTTTGTTGAGAATCTCATTCTGCAACTCAACCCCCCCACCCCATTAAATATGATAAATCCTTCCCTTAATTAAGGTGGCTTGAAGTATCTGAGCATATTAAAGGTTGAAATGGACACTATTGGTCAGAACAGTGGGTTTTACAGCAACCAAGACCCAACTAACATTGGGACAATTTATATGCCCAAATATTCCATTCATCACACCTATTACATTCAGGATTAACTAATTGTCACCCAGTGTGTTTATTTACAGAGGCCAGTAACAGCCTCTAGAAGCAGGATGGCTGTTAAACAGAGCCCTCAAAGGCTGGCCTGCCACACTGATGTACAAGTCAATAGCACACTTGAAACTTAAAATATAGGAATTGAAAGTGTCACATATGGACATGTTTCTCTGTTCCTCTGCTTTTTTTTCCACCACTTCCTTTCTACCCTTCCTTTGGTACCTAGGCCCCAGAAGTGAAAGGCAGAACAGACACTGCCTCCCAACCAGTAAGCTTTTAAAACAAACCGGGAAGGATAAATCTATGTATTGTACTAGGTTTGTTTGAATTATGTGCTAGGTTTACACAAATTGTGTAAGCAAAAATAGTTCTGGAAAACATCATTTTAAACAAAATAAAGGTTTCTAGATGTTTCAGTGTGAGTGCAGTCAAATTTGTGGAGTTGTATTAACTCCTGGACCCACGCTACATGGAGCTTTTCTGTCTGTCAAGTGATGATACTTGCTGGATTGAAGATCTAAAAACTGAAGTACAGTTTTTGCAGATTTTATGATGCAGTACAATTAACCATAAAATTAGTCTATCCTCTCATTATTGCAGACATCTATCACAATAGGCATCTATTACAAATTAGTACTTTCTAGTTCTATTGCAAAACAAGTACAGTATAACCAATAGAGACTCAGGGCAAAAGTAAAGAAGTGGAGTCCTGAGGAGAGGCTTGTAAAGAGCAATTGGTTTAACTACAAACCTGACATTAGCACATCAACATACAGTAATACTCACTCCTGGTCCTGGAGGGCAACATGGTTTCCGGGTTTTCGTTCCAAGCCAAGAGTTAGAATTCTCAGACCACACGTTTCTCTGTGGAGTACAGTCAATACGAGCTTGACAACATCTTGTGTTAACTTTCTGTCTACTTTGGATTCCCTTTCTGTGAAATCTTTAAGGGCTTGACAAATATCTTTTTTCATTCAGTGAGTAAGACTGCACTTTGAACAGATTAGCCTGAATTAACCTGATCAGACCCAAGACTTGTCATTATGGTCCGACCTGCATCCTAGGTTCTCCTCCAGGAATTCTGGGCTGAGAATGGGCCACAGTCCCATAGATGAGTTTCATTGAACATGTCCATTCAATGTGGAAGCCTTGCTGTTGTCTTGTACAAGCCTTGTGTCCTGTGTTTATCAGAACTCTGTATGCTTTCAAAGGTTCTTCTATTTCGTTATTGTCTATATATATATTTGCTATTAATGTTTGTTATTGATGTGATTCAGGCATTTACAGGAAACTGCGGTTTAATGAGAAATCCATTTTTTAGTTGAACATGTTTAGGGAGATCTCCAAAAACTTGGAAGTACTTAATTAAGCATTAACTAGAGGCTCTATTGGAGGGAGTTAAAAAGCTTAAACATGTGATATTGAAAGCCCATTGTATTTACAATTGCCATAACTGTAACTGTAACCATACTCCCATTAGTAACACTGAGAAGGCTGCTAAAAGACTCTGACATTTCTCGCACAGATCAGAAATTGTGTTCACTCTGTTGGCCTTCCCACATTACACAACTAGACATGTCTTGCTTGATGGAGCTTAGAAGTTATTCTCATTGTTTCTGTGGATGAGCAATGACTTTTCTTCTCAGTTTTTGAAAGGATTTCCTTGGAATAGGTTGGCCTTGGGACTTTATTAAGCAGCTATGAGTTAGATTTATACAGGCTCTCCGTGCAGTAATTTCTCCTAATCCCACATTTCACCAGTCAAATTGGTTAATCTGAACACCTGCCAAAATACATTTTTCTGAACACCATAAAAATAAAAATAAAAGTCTAATACTGTATATCACTGCCAGGTATACTCACAACAGCATGAGAACTGCATAGATGTTTTTTCGGATCTGAGAGGACAGAGCTGGGTTTTGAATGTGAGATCAGATTTACATCAAAATAAGATGTACCATATGCAGCAAGTCTTCACAGGGAGCTTAATTAAATGAAGAATCTACAGCCCCGAACTTCAGAGGTAATTTAGTTTTTTACTTTCTATAGGGAAATAAAACCTGCATTTTTTCAGAAGTAGCTAGGAACTAATGATGTAAATTAAAGGAGTATGTCTTGTGTGGATTGTCACATTATTTATACCCAGTGTTTGCAGAATTGTAGACAGCATCATAATTCTGTCACTTTGCATTATATTTTACAGCTAAGTGAAATTTCTTTAAACATATACTGACATGAGTTTTTTAAAAGAGCCCCACCGTTATTATACATAATGAATTTAACAAGACTTATATAATTGAATAGCAATTTTATTTTTTTCAAAATTAATAACAATCCTTGTACACCCATACAGTATATTTAATTTTACTATGCTTTCCCACTCTTAAAATAAAAATATTATGTCACCGACACTTGTTCTTTCACCTGGAATCTGTGACTGAAAAATCTTTTGCAGCTTATCTCTCCAGAAAACAATAATTTGAAAACGAGCAGCCACATAATTTTTCACTATACTGTAGGTCACATACTGTAGCTAATTTACATGTTGTAAACCTGCACATAGACATTTCCAAAAGTTTGAATCTTTCCTACAGGGTCATAGGTAGAATTAGAGGAGAAATCTGTCAACACAATTCAAATAAAAAATAAACAACTGGTCATTTTTTCTTGCCAGTTTTGTTTTTGTAAATGGAGGGAAAAACATTTTTCACAACATTTATGTGGAAGTATATTCTAGAAACATGTTCCTTGGTCTGTCTTTGAATTCTGTATAAACCTGTGGAGAAGAGGTTAAGAAGCTCTGTATGTACAGTATGCACTGTATATACAGTATATACTGTATATGTTGTGAAAATATTTCAAAACTTTGGAAGGCTGAAACAGCTAGAGACTTGTAATTAAACCTTTAGCATACTTGAACCCTAACTTGTCAATGTGAAATTGCTAACTTTAGTGAAATTAACATTCAATATTTAAGTGTCTTTCTAGGAAAACTTTTCAGGTTTAAGGTATACTTAAGAGCATTCAATCCCAATAAATATATTAAGTCTCATAATTCATGTGAATGCATGCTCTTAAGAACACCATCATCTGGGACGTATAGATATGCTACATATACAGTAGTATGTAGCATAATATGTAGAATATGTATGTAGTATGTAGTATGTATAACGTGTATGTGTGAATAGACAGTAAATAGCTACTGTACCTTGCCAGAAAAATAAAAGAAAAATAGTTTCTAAGCCTAATACTGTACAACACTTCCAGGTATACTCACAACAGCATGAGAACTGTTTCCAGCATCCATTCTGAGCAGGTACTTATATGTATGCACTGCTCACATCTGTTATTCACATGAGTACTGTACAATATTATCTATATTATCACCTGAAGTGGGTACTCTTTGTTGTCTTATTTTTTAACATATATCTCTGTTTGAGTTTGGATAAAGTGTTTCCTTTTTGATGCAGCATTCAAGTTTTTGTAACATTCTTCTCATGTTAAAGAAAGTCGCAGTGGGCTTCACAAAACACAGATTCAGCACAAAAGTTTGTATAGAAAGGTACATGAGAATAGATACGCCAGAGACATGCCTTGTACAGCTTAGCCATTTGTATGTGTTTGTAAAAGCATGTGTCTTCTGAAAGACAAAGCCAAAAGGGCTGAGCTGAAACCATAAATTGAACCTTTTATATTGATTTCATACCTTCATGTTGTGTTTCTATACACTTACATACCAACTGTTAAAACACATTTTTTCTGAGTGTTCTTTTTGCAACTTCTCTTTGGGCCCTGCATAATGCCAGTATTTCATTTCTTTATAAACTCCCCAATATCCAATTCTGAATCATAATCATTTACCATCTTCCTTTAAACACTTTGTATCAGGGATTTTTCTTCTTCGCTTGCCCTGTATACATTTTTACTAGCATTTTTTGCAGTGGGTGCTGTTATTTTGATAGTAGCAAGATGAATTTCTAAAATTATTTTTTAAATAGTATTTTATTATCCTGGTTTGTCTGAGACTTGGATCGTATTCAAACTTCAACCCTGCTGTTGCTTCCAATATACAATACAAACCCATTAACACCTAATGACAAATCTCCTATGTCATCCGATTTTACAAGCCAAGTGGGTTGAAGCTGTCTTTTTAAATCCTCCTGTCCACTGACAGCACGGAGATGGAAGTTCAAGAAGAATACAAGACTACAGCCGCACAATAGTGTTTCAGTGAGGCACTGCATAGGATCTTAAAACTCTTCTCCACGGCATTTCCTTTGAATTAGTAAGAAGTCTTCAGAATCCCCTTCTTATGAAAAGGTGACTCAATCTGCTTAAGGGAATTTTCTTAACATTTAAAGAAATTGATTAATCTTTTGGCTCAAAAACACTAGATCTGCTAGGTACTGTACTCATCATGTACTAGTCAAGTCAACTCAGCTCTGCAACCCTTGAACTAGGGTAGAAGAGTCAAATGTGACATGGTTTCCCATTCACCATTTGTAAAAAAATAAAACATGTTCCATCATCATTTTATTATTCCTTTAGGGTTTTGATAAAATAATTAACTGCTTTTTTCTGATTTGAGAAAACCTTAATGAATAATAAAATGATCGCCTTGTGACCTAATTTTGTGCTTTCCAAGCCTGACCTTCAGTTGTCTAGTGCCCCACTTCTCAACAATAATTTTAAACACTTAGAAAATATTTTTGGGGTGTGGTCTTGAAATTGGAAGGTGTTGAATGAGCAAAAATAAATACAAATGCTTCAGTCAAAGAATCAATTAATTGATTATTAATTGACGCATGACATCTCAAGAAAAAAGACCTGGGAACCCTTGGACAACTCACGTTTTCGTTTCTGATCATTGCTCAAAAGAGTCAGAAATACAAAAGTGAAAGCACAGAAACACACAGAATTCAAAATCACAGGTTCCAGCGCATTGTGCGGTGTTTAAGGCTTGGGAATTGACTGAAGCTAGTTACTTCCCTTCACAGGTTGCCTTTCAAAGTGAGGTTTATTTGTCATATCTCACAGGATTATTCTGTATGTCTTTTCCTATCTACTGTATGCTGATCAGTCTGGCTCCTGAAGATAACTCTTTTAACTCACACACTGGGTCAGGAGTGAAATGACAGAATTCCACAAAGGTCAATGAATTTTAATAGGACAGAAATAAAGTCCTAAGGAATATGTTTTGTGTATATATATATACAAATACAGTATGTGTATATACATAAATTCATAGAAGGCCAAAGATTCACAAGGGATGTCAGATGATCTGCTTTGACTGAACAACTAATATCCAGGGTAGAGCTCTTGTATGTGGAGTGCACTAAAACACAATCGACCACTAACTTCCTCTTCAGTTTTTGTGGGCATGTAACTCACTGGCATGTGAATCATAGTGACCAGCACACTTTCAAAACTCCAGTTATGTTTTGATTGAACAGATGCTTGCTTCCTCCCAGCATGTGATGACCTGCTTTCTTCGTTTTTGTTGGCACAAAAGGACTTTGGGATTGGGGCAGAGGAGAGCCCGTCCAGTCTGTTGCTCTCTCCCTCATCCGGGAGTCCAAGACGAGAGCTACACTTTGAGGGCCTCATGCACGCCTACGGCAGAGAGGCGCCTGTTGATATTGCGGTAGCGGCAGCGCAGGAGGTCCTTGTACGTGGACCTCAGGTCTCGATTAAAGAAGGCGTAGATGAACGGGTTCATGAGGGAGTTGGCGTAGCCGAGCCAGAGGAGGGTACGCTCCAGCCAGATGGGGATGCAGCTGCAGTGCACGCCGCAGATGAAGGGCCGGGCGGTGGAGAGTATGAAGAAGGGCAGCCAGCAGATGGAGAAGACGCCCACGATCACCCCCAGGGTGGTCGCCGCCTTCTGCTCCCGCTTGAAGATGGAAATGTTCTTGCGCTCGCGGCCCAGCAGCCGCGAGAGGGCCGCGCACTCCTCTGCCATGCCGGGGGGCTTGAGGCCCTGCAGCTTCAGGCCCTCGTTGGCCGCGGTCTCCAGGTCCTTGCGGCGGGTAAAGCTGGCGAAGCGGTGCTTGGCCGCGCTCTTGCGGGCCGCCCGAAAGATCTTGTAGTACATGATGAGCATGACGGCCATGGGGATGTAGAAGGCCACGGCAGTGGAGTAGATGGTGTAGCTGAAGTCCTGGCTGATCAGGCACACGCCTGCCGTGTTAACGTTCTGGGCCCAGCCGCAGAAGGGCGGCAGGGTGATGGAGGCTGACACCAGCCACACTCCCGCAATCATCTTGGCCATCAGCTGCCCATTCTGCCTGGCCGGGTAGGTGAGGGGACGGGTGATTCCCAGGTATCTAGAAGAAACAGTGAATGATGATCAGGCAGGGTTCCCAACATGCCTAATTTTAAGAAAGATGAAGGTCAGGACACTATCCAGTATGACAGAACATCAATGCATATCCATCCACATGAAATGGGTCATTTAAACACCCCCCTAGATAAGCACAATGAACTTCCAAAATTCCCTGTTTATTATAACAATAAGCATTTTTTCCCTCAGTGTACAAATGCACACATTTGCACAGCCTTTACTGGCACATAAGCTTATAATGTTCAAACACAGGTTATCAGCCCACAAACCAACATTTGTAATAGTCCTGGAAGTCTTGCAGCAATGTACAATAAGATTGTAGGGTGCAATGTTTATATTTGCTTAGAATATCTGAAATAGCAACCGTGTTTCTCATGAAAGCCGTAAATCCAAAGAAGCATTTACTGTGTAACTGTCTCTGAAGAAAAGAATCAGAATGCAGCTGAAGTGTCAGGTGAGTTTAAAGACAAGAAAATATCTTTCACTGACTGGAGTCATGCATAGCTCACAGTCTTCCGTAAGCATCCAAGCTATTTATTTTCTTTAAATTCATAACTGTCAGTCAGTACTAAAAGCTCTGTTCAGGCACCCTGCAGGGATTCGATACAGTACCATTTTTCTCAGTGTCATCTGTTTTTCATTACCTATTTTCAAAATACACAGTGGAGTCAAAGTGTTGGAGTCAGAACCAGTAAGATGCTCAGAATTCTCTGTAAAATAACCCAGGGGGAAATCCTATCTATTTCTGATACAGAATAATAGAGCTGCTAATACCACAGAGATGTCAGTACTGTCCCATCCTGTAAACCAGGCTTGTGAATTTTATTTCATTTCTCAACAGACAGGCCACAGTAAAGACATCCTGGTAGGCTTTTATCATCCAAAACAGCTTCATTTCCAATTACTTTTAGACTCCAGGTCCCATTACCCATTTCTAACAATCAAAACATTGTATGGGGTTTTGCAGATCAAGGGTTTTTGTATCATAGTATTATTAACTTAAAGGTCATGTAATAAAAAAACAGTCCGTTCTTTTCTTTCTTATATTCCCAGTAGTGTTCCCATCCATGTCTGGGGGATGCTTTATTCAGGAAAATGATCCTGTCACTTTAGATTTCGATGTTAAAATCATATCAGATGCAAATATGAGGTTTTCAGTACATTTTTCAGTACAGTAATATGATGATATAAAGACCCATAGGTTTTTTTTACTGCGCCATAAGAAGCAGAAAAGTGGCACGGACATAACCAGTCTCACACGTCTCACACCAGGGCCAATTTTCCCAGAAGCCAATTAACCAACCGGCATGTCTTTGGACTGTGGGAAGAAACTGGAGCACCTGGAAGAATCCCAGGTAAACACAGGGACAACATACAAGCTCCATGCAAATAGCACCTCAAGAACTGAAGCAAGGGCCTCAGTGATATAAAACAAGCAATGCTTACTACTGCACAACTGTACCACCTTTTATAGAGCAGAATAGTTAAGCAAATATAGTTTAAGCCCTTAATTTCTCTCGTGCATCAGAATATCAGAATATTAGAAATTATAAATGGAAAACTATATCTGTGTATGTGTTGGAGTCAGTGAACCCCCCCCTTTTTACCTTATTTGGCTTTAAAAAAAGGAAAATTCAATTGAGCCAATTAAATTAATCAAAAACAAAAACTACAGTAATGGATACTTTCCCTTTCAGAACACTGCAGTCTTTTGAAGTCTGAGATGGAAGGTACCAGATGTTAGTGTATGCAAACCTGTCTCCTCATACATTAGTAAATGTGAGTTCGTAACTGGAAACAATGGAGAATTAATTTAGGTCAGGGAACCGGAAAGACTTATTTTCATAAAGTGTTGTGGGTGTCTGGAACAGGCTTCACAGCCTGCTGGTTGTGTCTCAAACTCTGAGCTCTTTCAAGAGCCGGCAAGACGAAATTTTAGATTCAATTATGTCCTGAACTACAGAACGAGCAAGATGAGCCCAAGTCCCCTCTCATTTGTAACTTTTCTTATATTCAAAGTTACAATGAAATAAAGAGCCCCCATGACATGTTAATATGAAGTCCTGCTGCCTTTTAAGGGGCATGGATCATGGTCGCTTGACATGATTATAAACGTACTACCAGTTAATGAGCTCATGGAACAGAGAGATGATTCCTGTGAAGCTGAAAAGTGTGAAAATAACCTGCTGGGCTGATGAGAGAGATGGAGATGAGCTCTCATGTCTGACAAAGAAGTGAAAGTAATGTTCAGAAAAGCATATTACTGTACCTGATTACTTGATTGTATGCTAATCTCTCTTCCTACGCCACACAGCTTTGAAGGAGTTCAATAACAAATAAGTTCAAGATTCATGCATAACACTGGACAGATTTCCCATGAGTAACACTGATTCATATAAAGAGTGGTGAAAAGCCTACCATTGAGTGACAATTTAGAGGGTATCAAGAACTGTCATTTATTCAGCTTTGCACATACCAGAGGAAAATGTATTCATATGCTGTTGGATTAGATTCTTTATTGCGAACCCATCTAATGCATAACACATTCAAAATTACAAGAACAGTTTGACATTTCATGGAAGTGTGTCTTGCTGCCACTGTCTTTTTGGAATGCACAGTTCTTCTTAATTATCTTTCTTACCAATGGGGTAGTATACTGGTACTGAAAATCTGCAGTTTTGTATACTGATCGCTGATGTATCCATACCTTTAAAACATGCATGGATGATTGTTTCTAGCTGTTTTCTTTTTAAATTAACTGTACTGTACAGTGCATGTTACGTATTAGAGATATCTAGAAAATTAGTCTGCCAATGATTTGGTTTGTTTGGATCTTTGAAGGGCTGCATTTAATTAAGAATTTAAGAAATGCTGCAAATGAAATGAGGCCATTTTGGTCCATGTTGCTTATTTGATAGCTTAGTACAGCATCTAAGTTAAAATAACATTTTATCAGGCTGTTTCTTAAAGGAACCCAAAGCTTGAGTCTTAACTACAGGACCCACAACTCTTCGTGTAAGGGATAATTTCCTAGTCTCTGTTTCCTTAACTTTTCAGCTGTACTTAAACCTGCCTAGACACGACCAATCCAGAAGACTAGGAATCATTCTAGCTGGTTGTATTTGTGCTCTTTAATATTCTGTTTGTGGCTTTGTATTCTAAACCGACCTTAAAATTCTAAATAACAGGTTTTACTGTTAAAATATTCCTCTCGAGAGAAAGTGGTCTTCAGCTCCAAGTTCTACAGAGAGAAGGACTCCGTTTTGTCTTATTTGCCTCTGGGTTCCTTGTGTTGGCAGTGGTTATTTTATTGTACTTCCTCAGGGTCAGCAGCAATTATTCAAGTTGGCAGTTACACCCAGAGGTGAATTATTATTCATTTTGATACTGCTTTATTTAGCCATTAATGTTTAATCTTATTCCAGCATGAAGTTATGTTGGCTAGTGTCTGCCATAGTTACGGTATACATAACCATTTTGTAACAATTACTGGGAAGCTGTCAAAACTGATTTTCTTTAAAGTAGGGAACATAGGAAAATGTATTAATAAACAAGCTAAACTTAGTTTGGAACGCAAATGTGGAAATCTTTTTGAGTCACACGGAAATCAAGGTAAAACGTACCTCTGAACACCTAAATGTGATCAATAAAAAGCTGGAAAAACATTCCTCAATTCCATGAAGCCATCTTTGCTGTATCCAAGGCTGACTTCTTCAGCACACAGTGCTGTGTGCAGCCTACTGTAGCTTTTATCTATGTCCTGTTTCCACTGTGAGTGATTTTACCTTACTTTATTTAAGAGAACAGCCTGAGATTAAAACCACCTCACTACTTCCACTTTCTGCTCAGTTGTGAACGTGATGTCTGACAAGTTGCCACAAGAATGTCAGCTATAGGGCAGACAAGATGAACCACCGAAGGGCACTCTTTAATAGGGAGTGAAGTAATGGTGGTCTGTATTTTTTGAAGTTACAGATTTTTTTTAAATAGCGGCTACATTAACTGAAACACCCTATAATTCACTGCTATGCAAATCAGATCTTTGGCCCTCTTCGTCTAGAAAATAACAGGAAATAGAAGGATCATATAATCGGCATATGTAAAGTCTACCCTTTCCAGAGTAAAATGTTGACTGTATAAGTTATTTGCTGAAATGACGTGACTGTGTGCTCACTGGCCTCCAGAGTCATTCTATTTATGGAATCGAGTGTTGGGACCTGTTTGGGCATGCTTTGTCTGATGGATTGCAAACACAATACCTGGCTACAATGAGTTGTCACCACACCGTTCAGCTGGGGGAAAAAAAAAGAAAACAGGAAGCTTGTGCAAACAGTCCAAGATATGATGATGTATATAGGGCTGGTATGAGCATAGTCAAACAGCCCTTATCACAGATTTCATGGCCTAGTGGCGCAATGTGGGGCACAGGTGCATCAACAGCAGGTGCTCTCGTTTTTTAACACTTTCGTAGCTTTCTTTTACGGGTTGTTGAAAGACCTCACAGCGCTGACAGGGGCTGTGGATTATCGGTGCGCGTGAGTGGCATTTCACGGTGCTGTGTTTTCAACCTTTGTTCCTGCGTCCCCCCCCCACCACGACCTGTGCCCTGATTCCATTCCGACTCACTACTCAGGCAAATGTTGCCCCTGAATACGTGTGCAGGTGTTATGTGTTATATTTTTCCACATCTTTTCTCTAACCCCACTTTTTGAACTGATTTTAGCAAGCTCTTTATTACCTTGTTACTTTACACTTCCTTTCAGTGATGTGCTGCAGTGCTATAATAAATAGGTCATTATCCCACACATGTCACTTACCATCTGGAGCTGTCTGTTTCATTAAGGTATTGTCAATGGAGCTAAGGCATCATTTAGCTATGAACCAATTAATTCCCCGCAGACATTTAGAATCAATATAATTAATATTTCAATTTTTTCATCCTACCAATGTAACTGTCGGTGTGTATTTTGTGTATGTTTGGGA